GCATGCGGGAAAGGAAGGCAGCCAACCAGAGAAGGACATGGAGGAGATGCAGTATATAATGAGCGGCGTGGCCAGCGTGGTGGACTCGGGTGGAAGGCGCCTGACGTGTGGCTCTGGCTTGTGATTGGTCGGTAAAGCCTGTTCTGTTGTTCCCATCTTCTTCCTATTATGGCTTGGGTATTCTACACATGAAAAATTTTGGTGTCGAGGTCTGAGCGCTCAGACATATTGGACCACGCTAGCCTCAGCCAATCCTCTGCCTATTTGCGATCCAATGGCATGCGAAGAAGATAGGCAGCTAACCAGTGATGGACACGTTTGAGAAGCGGTATATATGTAGTATATCCGAGCCCTAATAGGAAGAAGACTGACATAGCAGAACAGGCTTTATTGACCAATCTCAAGCTAAAGCCACAAGTCAGGCGTCTTCCATCCGAGTCCACCACGCTGGCCACGCCGCTCATTATATGCTGCTCCTCATTCGTGTGTTTTTCTGGTTGGCTACCAATCATCCTTGAACGCCATTGGAACACCGAGAGACAGAGGATTGGATAAGGCCAGCGCGGTTTAATATGGCAGCGCGGAGAATTGTGATGGACGGCGCCTGACGTGTGGTCCTGGCTTGTGATTGGTCTTTAAAACCTGGGGCTCGGTTATTTTACAGCTGATATGTAGTTACTTATTAAAGTCGCACACATATTGGGCTTCAACGACCTCAGCCATTCCTCTGTCTCATTGCGTTTGACTGGCCTTCGTAGAAGACCAAATGTAAAACGAATAAAAATACAGACGAGAAACATTTTAAATCGAACGTCGCTGATTGAATGGAATCATTTGGATGGTGTCAGATGCAGCGTTCTCGTTTGCGATTGATGAAATAACTAGCTGTGTTGAACAGGTCGTTTTAATACAAATAATCGATTGTCCTACTTTGGTTTTATTAAATGCACATGGATAACAAAAATAGAGCCTCAAACCTTTTCCTACCATGACAGCAGATATAAGAACTAAAAAGCCGGCAGCATTTGTCATGGCAGCACATCCGATGTTCCAAACACAAAACCCATCGACATTGCCTTGTTTTCCCAGTCTCCTCTACACAATGGCTCAAGATCGCCTTCAAGCCAATCGACAAGGTCTAGAAATCAGAGTTTTCTATAAAGCTAATTATATTCACTAAAATTAATTTTGGGATATTTTAAGGCAGGACAGCTTATTTTGTTGCAAATATACAAAATACGTACATTTTTCAACATTTCAAAACCTTATAATGAAGTTAGTTAATTTATAAATGTTTGGTCTTTTAGCTCTTTTGGGTAATTAATATTTATATAATCAATTCAAGAAGGCCCTTTCTGTGATACGTCGCAAACGATTAGTTTTACTTAATATGATGAGTCATATGAGTCAGGTAATCTAGTATTTAAGAATCCCTGAATTTCCTATTAATTACATTTTCCTTTTAATTCGGATGCACTAAATAGCACCTTGGCTTAAAAATGATGATTAGCTAGTGTATATGCAAAGCGTACTAGACGCTTAATACACACAGAGGTTACAGGCTTTCTTACGGCAGTAAAATTGAGAAAATAATTTGTATTAATTAAAAAGATTATGACAAGTGGCCCGAAAGATGACTCAAATTACCATTTTGGCTACGATAAAACATGATGTACTAAAAGAAGAAAGACTGTTGGTTAAGTTTCCACGGTGCATGAGTCGGGTTTTAGTTTGAAGAACATGCATAATCACTATCCAGTATAGTCATTTTTGATGTTGAAAACTTCTCTAAAACCTGAACCTGTATTTGATCACTAAACCTAGTTTTAGGCAATTTGCACGGGTTTCGAATTTATTATGTTTATAATCTCTATGTTTACAAGCATCGCACATCACTTTCACATATGTATAACCAAATGTTGGTCCAGATCCTTAAATTTTTACGCCACTAGTAAATTTTCTGGAAATTGATTTGATACAAACCGGATTCTAGAAATTCAAATTGAAGAAAAATTGCAGTTTATTTCAGTTGTGTAAAGGTCAAACTGTTATCAGCATGCTTCAAAGTTTTATTTATATGTCAAGTTATGGACATCATGCTTACCTAAGAAAATTACTATTGTAAGGGGTATTGCAGTTATTTCTGTCAGCACAAAAACGGACATTGTATAAAAGTGCCATGAGATACAAATATAATTAGGCTAAACGAAGAATTTTCAAATAAAAACTTTCAAATTGTCCCAATCCCTTCAAAAAATGTGTGAATATTTATCAGAGGAAATTCTCATTGTTTACGTATGTCCGCAAACAAGCTTGGCACGTTAAAGGCATTCGTTATGGTCATAACTAAATATTAACACAGGAATACTAAATGATTTGAATGGTTTCCTCATATTTCCAACAGTTCGTACCACCGCGGTCGGATATATAATTATCTACGGAAGTGACATGTCTGACGTTTTAAAATTCACTTTTTTTTAAAAATCTTTGAAAGATTGTTTATAACTTAAACTATTTTTAGAAAAATCGGAAAGTTAATTATGTAATTGAGATACATTGAAGGCATGGCAAATCATTCCTAGTTTGGAAATCATGATATTTTGATGTCGATATACTTATCATCATTGGGACAGCTATTACACTGTTTAAAGTTACTCGGCTTCGCGCACTTGCTGGTCAAAGAATGCGTAGAAACCTTGTAATGCCCATATAAACACCCGTTTCTTTACCCTTTTTAAGACATTTACAGAAAAATGACAATTTTGTTTAAAAGTTTTTTTAGAGTACTGTATACTTTTATAAAATAATGAAATCTGCAGACGTTGTAGCAAAGGTTTATTCTTTTTATTGCAATTCCTGTAAATAGAAGCATTCACTGAGCGAAATTTGCTTCATCTTTATTCATTTTATGTAGTGGATTTCTCCTTCGTATGGAGTTGTGGTCGTCCGGTGGTTAGTTGACAATTTAATTGAAATGCGGTTACATTTGTGGGCTGTTGGTTTCTTTTGCGACATCGATTTCTAAATGAATTATGATCTAGAATCATCTTGGAAACTGTGGACTAGGAAGCATTCAAATTCCTGCGCCAAGGTTTTATATTGCTAGAAACGGTGAAACGCAAGTGTGCGTGATAACGAGGCGAATAAATTGCTGATGAGTTTAACCATCAGTTAATGGTTCTTTAATTCGTCCCAATTTCTACTTTCAACACGAAGTCGTTATTATTTTCCATTTTTAATAGATTTGATCTTAAATGCTCACACAACGCGACAAACAGGTTTCAGCCGTCGGGTAAAAGGCTGTCTCCGTTATTTCCGCTCTTCTTACACCTCCCAGATACCTGCGTAGCCTAATTGAGCCAATACCATATGACGATTACGGTGTGATTTACAGACCCATAACGAAGCCTCTATTAGAATACTGGTCTGGCATGCTACGTGTCCACAATACTTATCCCCAAACTCCGATTGTTTAATATTTCGGTACCTATAAATGCGGCCACTTAAAACCTCTTGTGCCTCATTTTGCTCACTGCAACAAAATGCATTATAAAGTGCAAACTAAGGAGTCCATAAATAGACCTGAAGAATAAAGTTGATATAGGGACCAAAGCAGGTAAGGAAGCAGGCGAAAATAGCTGACATTTATTGCTGTTAAGGGATATTGACACGAATGAAAGGAACTGAAAACTTAAAAAAATATGAGGTGGGAAATGACTTTTTTTGGATTTAATGAATGTCCACGATTACTTTACAGCATCCCGCTATCAAAATCAATGCCTTTTTTGTCTGATTTCTTTGAAGTGAATGATAATTCACTACCAGCCTCTTCGTCGACTTCTAGCACGGGGCCTCCTTTGTACCTGAAGTGGACCGTTATCGCGAAAAGTACAAATATGACGATTGCCACAAGAGTCGAGACCCAGGAATATGTGAAACTCATGTAGTACCTGCGTGAAATAAAAAAAAATTTAAGCGCCGGTTTATTTCTGATGGACAAAATAATGACACAGTAAATTTTTCCCAATTAAATTAAATAAGTGAAGATGGGATTCATCTGTTCTATATTTTTAATGAATGTCTATCTCACGGTTAGGTATGTAGCCAATTTCTGAGAATATACTGAAGAAGTGAAAATACGTTTCCGCAAGCACTTTACCGGGCATAAATCAACTATTAACTAAGTCTTTGTAATAGTTAATGCTAACAGAAAGCGAAATAAACCGCCATTTTTAATTTAGGCTGCGAGGTGCAGCGTTAGTTATGTGACTACCATGGGGTTAAAGTTTTTTTGAGACTTTTCGCGTTCTCACATCACTCTTGGAATTGGGTGTCAAAATGCTTTAGTCCTATTTAGTAATCAGTTACGAAACTGTGCATCCATTTTCCATTCAAGTCATCACTATCCTTCTTCAGGTGATTGAGAAACCACCGATATGGAAATAATCCAAAGTACAATAAATTTTAGTTACCCACTAACGGACAACGTTTGGGAAACTTGTCAGATTTTTCACCAAATAAATCAAAAGGTTTTCAAATTTTTACAGTAGAAACAATTAACAGCTGATTTACCTTAATGGCTCAGAGGGACCGTTTGAAGCCAGTATCTAAGACTTCCTAAATTAATCGAGATCTAGGGAAGTCTTTACATTATTTTAGATGTAAAATTTTTACCCTGGTACAGCAAGTAAAATGTCTTCAGTTTCATTTTGACACTACTTTTAGTCAGTCACGTTGGCCTAAATAGAATTGATTGGGTTTTGCAAAGACGCCGTGAGCACGTCTTCATTGTATTTGCAAACAGTCACTTGCAGTAACTCGGATTTTTAGATACTTTAAACACTTCCACTTAAACGCCCTCGACAGTAAGACCCGTATGGTAGTTCAACACAAAACAATGAGCTGGTTTCATTCATTAAAATTAATTTCGAGTACACGCCTGACGCCTTTGGAATGTTTTGTCTAATATCAGCTATTGGCGCGCATACATTTTATTTTCGATTGCGTGATTTCATAATTGCAACACTTAGTCAAACATTCACATCAAGTGACTTCTAGTGTCACAAAAGAATTACAGCGGCAATTTGGAAAAAGGCTAACATACTTTTGAGCAATTGTGCCTTCATTCATTGCGGGAACGTTGGTGTACAGGCCGACTCCCCACCTCAGGTAGTACCAGGAGTAGATTTCCGACTTATCACTTATTGGGGCCAGTACAGCACAGACGTACATTCCGTTCACTGCGTCAGGTACATTCATGATTGATTTATCAATTTTAAGGGTGTACTTGGTGTCATTCAGCACTTTCCAACCTTCGTTTGATTCACCGGGTTTAAGATGACGGTATGACGTTGGTTTGGGCAGGATCCATTGAATATTATGCCCTTTGCTTAAGTCGTTAAAGGGGTAATAACTGGGGTGGTAGCAGCTCAATTCGATGGTTTCTGTGCTCGGGACCAGCCAGTGAATGGGATCCCATTGGGGGAAATCATCGTACACGCTAGCAGTGACCAACGCTGCGGTCGCGAGAAGCAGAAAAAGTAACTGATTACCCATTTTCCTACAAAAAATATGCAAATTGATATCTTGTTAAAAGATTCCAATTTAGTAATTTGGAAACGGCACTGCAAAGTGCTAGCCAAATTTCGTTTTTTCCGTGACAGTCACATTGAAGCCTTGGCACTAGGCACAAGATGATATGTGACAGCATGCATACACACAAATTGGGTCTCAGGAAGAAAAGTGTCATTTTTTAGGCTGACCCATCAATGGGCCAGGCTGTAAGCTATAAGCCAGATTAGGACAATGGTTTATTAAAGCCATTCCATAAAACGAATTTGTGTCGGATTTTGTACGGGGTTGCGCGAAGCAAATAAAAAGTAATGTACGAAAAATAATGTGATATATCATTCTCAGAAAAAATTTAGAATTCTAGAGTCCTTCTTTTTTCTAACACACAGAAGCGTTTTATGAATGAATTAAATAGGAAATGAATTTTTAAGCTGGCACTTATAATTGATATTGTGCAAAAGCAGTGCTTCGCAAATCCTAATTGGATAAATGACTATTAGGCATGTTTAATGTAAGGTTACAGTTTATTAAAATACCACGATAATTTTGCCTGAAGTCTAAATAGGCATCTCCTTTAGAGTAAACTAATGCTCAAAGGCACAGACTAGTAGGGCATTTTTTAAACTTTAAATTTAAAAATTTATAGCTACCTTTAGTGTGTTAGATTTCAATTTAACGAATATTACAAATTATTTCAAGAACACCAAGCTTGATGGTAAGCAGAAAATGCAAATGGAGCAGACTTTATAAATTTCTTTATGATGATTCATATGTCCTAAATAAACTGAACTCGAAGCCCGAAACATAGGCCTGTAAAAGGCAAAAACTGATTCTGGAGACAAAGTAAGTCTGGTCTTGCAGCAGTTATATTCCAAAAGGGATACATTTAGTCAGGATGATTGCTTATGCTAGCTCAAAATAACGTTCAGACACAACACACTAATTAATAGGCAATTAATAAGAACCGGGAACAGAAGTTCCTTAACCTACCTTACTGAAGACAGAAATAAAACCGGGCTCGACAGTGCAGACGCTTTATAGTGTTTGGGCGTTTGAAGTCCGCCGATGTCATTGGTAAAAGCACCTAGGCTCTCTTTCTCTCTCTCACTTTACACCCACACACCACACCACACAAACACGCAAGTCGACTCTTTTGAAAAAAAAACCACCCCAAACGGTAAGTGTGCTTGTGATCTCTGGATCAAAGAGTGTCGCTTTTGATCTTCAAGTAAGGAATATAAGACTATACTTTGGAAAGTTACATCGGAAGAAATATTGGTAGTAAAGTTTTCTACATGGTTTTTTTAAAATTTGGCTTACGTTTCATTAAGGAGGTTCTACAGGCCAGGAGTTTAAAATAATCATGGACTTTGTATATTTTCATTATCAAAGTTTTTTGTTGCATATTTTTTATTTGTGGCGAATTAAAATGCTTTAAATTCCCTTGGTTCTTCATAATTATCTGGAAACCACGCTTGGCCTGATTTTACGCAAGTCTTACCAATACAACAAGTGGCGGTATTATGCACATTTGAAATCAAAAGCATATTTCAAAGAGTCGATAGTTTAATTCAAGAACGTAGAAGTTCAAAATGGGAAACCAAAGAAGGACAATGCACTGATGTCAGCTTTCTGTCCCCACATCGCTTTGCAGCAAATCCTACTGAAAACCCCAACTCCTAAGGAATGGGAATAATACGAAGTTTGATTTATTAAAACAAAACTGCCTTCTAATTAGATTTGCTAAGGGCACAATCAAGAAAGCGTACTCTTCGCTTCGATGGGTGTGGCTTTAATTGAGGTCCCAAAGCAACCTGTTTTGGGTTTGCGAAAATTCCATAACTATCACATGCTTTGAGCACGGCAGACTCGCTTGTCTTTATTCTCGCCAAACCCGCGTAAGAGTTTAAACAATGGTGTTGCACCATCGCTTCTACTGGAAGCTTTTGTAATTTTAGATGAACACACAGAGACATAGTGAAAAGGGGACAACCGAAATAAAAGTGGTTTAGTCTAGAAAAAAAACTTGATGTTACATAAATATATGCCAGAGATCAAATTTTAACTCCACAATGTTTGTTCCTCTCTACCACCCCAAAAACAATACTGGTTAATATTTCTACGTTTTATTAAACAAAACTAATCATCTTGGCCATCAAAAATCTAGTCATTTCTGAAATAAAAAAATTAGTTTGCAATTTTGACAGGATTTCCAGGCACTCTTAACTATAGGCTAAGACAACAAAAAAGAAATGCATCAAAATGATTTGCATATACATAATGGTCTCATCATGCTGAGATATATGCTCAACACAATCAAGATAAGAAATTTTCCTATAAGTCAAAATGGCTACTAGCATTTCACTGTGAGATTGTTGCTAGCACAGATCACTTTGCACAGATCGGTACCACCTTGGGCTTAATTCATTTCTGTGGTACCGGAACGTGAGGGTATGTGGCAATGCGGGGGGTGGAAGCGAATGAAACGGATTCACCAGCCGTCGCCTTGTCACCCACAAATATGCATGCATGCACACTTTCAACCATACAGCCGTTTCCCAGCCGACGTAAGGGGAACTTGGTCAGGGGTAGCCCCCGCGCGTAGCTCATATGAACACGAGAACACGAAAAAACGAGAGGTAGGTTACGTCAGGCATTCGTCAACCGGCAGGACTGCACGACAGCTCTGCGCCGAGTTACATGGGTGTGGCAGCATGTGACTCGAGGTGACTTTATCGCTGCTCACACCCTCCGGTGTTTGCCTGCCAAGTGCTTGTGACTGATGCCAATGGGCTGCTTCTTGCCTCACAAACAATCTTGCCTGACATCGATCTGAGAGGCGCACCACTAGCGTAAACTCAGGAAACAGAATTAACCCTCTCAATTGTTTACCCTGCGTCCTCAGTTTAAGGTAATACGCTATCCAAAGCAACACTTTTGTTTAAGTAATGCTCAATGGCTGACACATCGCATCAGAGGCGAATTCTAGGTGGCCAGTCTCTAACAGGAATGAAAGTGCACTGATAGGTGCAGTGACATGGCAAAGGCAGACATGTGGATAGATTGTTTGAAAGAAGATATTGGTGAGCAGGCCTGCAAAAAGGTGTCAAAACGAGCGAGACTGGGTCGCATTTGCGAAGTGGTCCCTGAGACAGCCTTTCTTAAAACCCAAGGGTGGGGCAGAAAAAGCCAAGATAGACGTGCGTGACAATTTATTGGTGGTGTGAGATGATAGGCTTTGCCTCTCACAATGCGAGTGACTGATGCGGGCTTCGGTATCGAGGGATGACAGTTTCAGATGTCCATTGGTAACACCACCATTTCCATCATTGCTTGAGGGCCTAGCAGCCTAGGTCCCTCTCATCAGACGACGCTGATGGGCCCATCTGACACGTCTTATGGAGTCTTGTGGAGAGTATTTAGCCGTTATTCCACAAGGCGATTGTGATGCGCACACTCCATTGTTTACTATTCGTGTATGCCATGATAAACTATCATGTTCTCGAGCATTTTATTTAGAGGTACTTATTTTAAGTTTTAATTTAACCTCTCATCATATTTTAACAGCAGCTTGGTTTGTATCCTGATGTTGGGCTGCTCATTGTAAGAGTCGGAACTACCGGATTAACTTGTAAATTTGGGTAGCCATCTCTAAGCTCTGGTTCTTTTCGCTTTGGTAAATTTTTAAAAAAAATTTAAGTGTGGCATGACTTTTCTCCTACACGGATTGTAAATGCTTGTCACGATAATCAGTTTCATAAAATACATTTTAAAGTCTACGTTTAAAATTTAGACCTGCCATTTCCTTTGCTGTGTCCGCAATGCCTGCTTAGCTTAACAAGAATAGCCCCGGGCAATGGCACCTTCAAATTAAACGAAAAATTGGTTAATCAGTCTAGTGCCTGGAGTGTTACTTCAGGTAGGGTACAGCTGCTATAAAAACAGCATAGCAAAATTAAAATTTATTCAGGGAATAGCAAAGAGAACCTATTTGATTTGTTTCAAAACACTTAAGACAAGTATATTGGTTTGATGTATTTGGACAGGAGTCTTAGTACCCGTAGTCTAAAACAAAATTAATATAGTATACCCAATCTCCCAAATTTATTTTACATGCATAGAAACGCTGTCAGTGCTACCTCAAATAGCAACCGTACGAGGTTTTGTGTACTGTCAGCCGAAGCTCAACGGTAGAAAATTAGCACCTATGACTCACTCCGAAAAATCATTGGTCCCCACTTACAACGAATCAGCTTTTCTCGAGCACTTTGTAATAATGCCTGCCCACACGCCTAATACGACGCATCCTGCCAAGAAGTGATTAAAGTCTTTGTCCTCTTGGCAGCTCCGCTTCCTCACCAGACACTGTTCCCGGGCTCCACAGATGTAAACCGATAAAAGTGCCTCAACATTGTTAATTCCACATCATTAGGTCACATGTTCATTCATCATGGAGGTCTCTACAAAGTCACACCTGATTATTGACATCGATTAATCGAAAGAATCATGAAGACAGGTTCTAATAGGCCTGCTTATGACTTGAAAAACAAACTCATTGGCTTACCAACATTCCAGACAGATGGTCGCTATCTCAGCCAAAAAAGATTAAAATAAATGGATTTATTAGTAAGACTACAGAGTCTAGGCTACTTCTTTTTCAATTTTTATTGTAACTGATTTTAAACATAAGCCATGGTTTTTTCTTTTTAAGGAAAACTTCTGATAAGCTTCATTGGTGAATAAGTGATTACTGTGCAATCAAATGGCATCCTGTAATTACTAGATACAACCATTCTCTGTTTTTGTAGTACCAAATGTAAGGGCTCATAAAAGACCAAAGGAAAATACATCATTTAACTCAAACTATTCTATTGTAGTGAACATTTTTGACTGGGTAATTGTACGAAACATTTTAATGAAAAAACTACATAAAGTGACACATTTTAATGCCGGAAGTAACTAAAATCAACTAATATGCATTAAGCATAATAAATACAATAATTGCATGCTTTTTTTTCGAGAACAAGAAAAAGTCTGATTAGTGTGGTTGTGCCTCAAAAAAGTCGTTTGCAAAACTTTTCCCGACAAACCAGCACTGGAGAATCCACCAACCAGAATTGTTTCCTTTAAGAAAAATGCCAACTAAGGTTCTTGGGCCCAAAATGATTCCAACAAGTATTCCTAAATGTGTACACGATTTATCTGGGCTTGGAACACCTGAGAGTCAAACATACCTACACCTGGGGGACAGGAGTGATGGGTCACGCGTAATCGGTCCACACAAGAGAAAATCGGTAAAATTTGCATTTTATTGATGTACGCATTAGCTACAGATACAAAATAAGGAAGTGAAGATAGTAATTGTTGAGTTAAAAGTTGATTTGATTTATTGCATACAACCGAGGTGTGAGGTGGTGAAGATTCGGGGTGTTTTACCTAGGTTGTGAATGGGATTCGAGGAATCACTAAGCCCCGGTTACCGACGAACAAAATTAGAATAATCTGAAATGAGTAGTCAACTATGGCAGCTAAATTAACTTCTGACCTTTGCATATCCTAAATGCATCCAAAAAGTTACTTTTGCCATACATTTTATGCTAGTTGACTCTGAAGTTTGTCTAGTTGGTGGATTGCTATCCCTCTTTGAAAGAATAACAAGCCAGTCTTTGGGAATGAACGCTGAAATAAGGCTAGAATCAGGGGTGTTTACTTAATATTAAGAGGTGTATAATTTGGTTCTAATTACAGTCGTTTTAACAGAAATGCACCAAAAATTTGCTGTACTTTTTTGGATTCAAAAAACCCCTAGACCCAATTTTTTGTGTTTTTTTGATGTTTTTAGATTGGCCTTCTTAACCCCATAACGGATTGCATACCATAACGAACATTCATTTACTGAACAAAGTTGAGGTTGGACGGAGTAAAGATTCAATTGTTTGATAATGAATCGTGGGGATCTGTGAAACCTACCTCAGGCAACCACGTTAAGCATTATCATTGGCCAAAATCCGGACAGCCATTTACCGCGCAGTTCCCTTTGATAATGTGGGTTTCGACCAATCTCATCTAAAAACAATTAGCCTCGGAAGCCAAACAAAATCGTACAGTTCTGAATATATATAACCGAAGTTCAAAATCAGGGTTTCCACCTTTGCGGGAAAGTCAACATCTTCGTAAGCACATTTGTGTCGTTAAAAATTCCTGTGAGAATAAATTAACATTTTCAAAATTGCATTTTTGGGAATATATTGCGTAATTGATAAGGTTGTAGCCTTAAGTTTTATATTTAAGTATTAAAGAGCACGCTAACACACGCAAATTAAATTATTAATGCTGTTTTTGTTAAGTCGCGCTTCATTGTTATGCTATAAGATATCTGAATTTTTACAGTAATTTTATTTTTTTCACACTTGCTTTGACTAGTCATCCAAACTGTAACAGTTTTCTACAAATTACACATTTCTGCTTTTTTTTATAAATCATAAAGAATCTTTAGCATAAATTAGTTCGTTTTGGTAAATTTATGTAAAATGATCACAGAGATTGCACCATCCACTCCGGACAAGTGTGCTCTGGTAACTTCTAGGCGAAAGGACACCTGATAATTTTACGGGAGACATTTTTAGCGAGATCTCCGAACCTCTCAAGGTCAAACCACAGACCTTAATGTGAACTAACCTAAGCATTCCATTGCCAAATTGGTTTACTGATCACTTGTTACGGGAGGATAAAGATTTCTTTGCATTGCGATGTATTCTTTCGCAGTATCTTATCAAGTTATAACAACCAGCCTAAACTACTGTCAACCGTCATTTGTATTGTTTATTTAATTAATCCATTTCAAGGCTAATAGAAATTTGTCATGTTTGTAAATCCGCATAACAAGATCAGTTATTCAGAAGGTGTCTGTTCAAGACACAAATTTTGAAATGGTCCACTTGCTGACCTGTGTTAAGGCTTTAATGTTTTCTTTTAGGTTTGTCATGCCGTGTTCACTTCAAGCAAGGATTTTTGCATTCCTCTGTGCCATGGCGTATTTGGGCTCCAAATCCACTACTACGGGAATCCCAATGGATCTGTCTTGGGCTTACCAGGAGCCATCGGTCCCCGAGAGAGCCGAAATCGCCGACTTCGTGCAGGAAATGCTGGTCGCCTTGACGAGTCTTCCCAAGAAGCCCCGCCGCACCCTCATGGACACAACCGCCTCATTCTATCAGGTGGGACGCAATGCATCGGCCATCCATACACCCATTGCATGTCCACCAGCTTTAAACTGAAAAAAACCGGCTCATGCTAAAAATTCATTCGACCGAAATGTATGAAACACAATGGACGACATGCGGGTCTTCTTAATTAGAAAAGTATTTATGGCCATACCCCTGTTTTAAATAAGTAAGTCTTTAATCCCATGAATTTTATTTCCGAGTGAAAGACAACTTCTTACTCGGAACAGGCCACCCTACTGAAGTACCCATGTGCAGCACGATGTGATGGGATGCCGTTGTGTGAGTGATGGACCGATCTTAGCCACAAGTGGATGGGGCTTGATAAATTTGCTTTTTATAATAATATTCAACCGTGTTTTGCCAATGTATTGAAAGAAGGCGTCAGACACCTTGAAGCGCAGTAGAAAAGCCGATCCTGGGGGCTGCACTATAATTAATATAATGCAGTTTGTTTACGTTATATGTTCGTTTTTTGACTCGTGACGCCACCATTTGCATTTCACCATACATATACTTTTTTACCGTCTAATAATAAGTAGCAATATTTATGATTGGCTTGTGTTAACCAAACTCCTTAAAGGCCCTTCGAAAATTTGGTGGACACTTTATTAAAATTTTAAATTTGATTAAGGAATATGCATGTAGCTCGCAGAATTCAGCCACTCCTGTCTCCTGAAGCTAAACGCTGGAATCAGTGTTCAGAATAAATCAATTGAATGAGCTGATGTTAAACTCTAAAATGAAAAAAAATTGTCCTTTTATTCTACCGTGCATGGTTAATTATGCAGATATTTTGAAGCCAATCAGTGGTACATCAATTATGCCAGGATTAGAACAAGAAACATTCAGTGAAATTTTATTTAAATTCATGTCCTTTCCTGTTCTTCGGCTTACTGGTGTATAGTAAATGTAAACTAGCACAATCAGTCCCGACCGTTGTGAAAGTCAACTAAATATCGAAAAATTGTTGATGAAGTCCATTAAACATTGACTGAATTCTAGAAAATGAACTTTAACTAGGTAATGAAACACAGGAACTAAAATCACGAATAGCAAAATTTTACGAACAATTAGTTAGAAACACGGGCTTGTGTCGTCGTTGTTCAAAGATTCATAGCATATTACTGCTATCTAGTCCTGGCATTTCGCATATTTTTGCAAACAAAGCGTGGAAGACTTTGTGTTATTTTCATCCTGACGCTTTTTTTCCATTTAGATAACGACCACAAGTCCTAATTCCAGCATAAGGCACTGAATTGTTTGTGGCGTTTTAGGCAAACTAAGACGAACTTAAGAACCGTAGGAAGAAGGTGATTATTATTTAGACAAACTCCGAGCTAGTAGCAGGTTTGCCAGCGCAGTAAAAAATAACAATGAAAGCATACTTGTTTTGTTTACTAGTACTGTGAAGGGTAGACAGAGGAAAGAACCTGAAAAATAATTGACATGAGAGAAGGGCATTTGAAAGTTTCTATAAGAAGGCCTGACTCGAGCTTTACATTCGGTAACTAGCACGGTCGGTGATAACTTGAAAAGGAAAATTTAGTTTGCCAGGGCTATCAAACCACGGCCTAATGCTTTATATTTGCGTAGAACCAATTTGGCCAAGTCAGACACTAAGGCATTCCACATTTGAACATTTTCAGGCGCTAAAGGACAAGGACTCTGATTTCGATGCAATAGGTGAGTCAATTTCTAATTATGTGAAGAATTGTGTTTAGTTTCATTGAATAGGGTCATTACAGTGATTTCATTTTCATGTTGTGACACAAAAGTAGAAAAAACTTGAATTACACCGCTTGGGCTTTGACATACCATAGCAGCCCGAACGCTTGAGCTTTGATCTCGCATGTTTGGACCTCAGCACGCTAAGGGAGCCCCAACAAACTCAAGACAACGCCCGGCCATGTCTGCCTTGACTACGAGAAGCTACGTTTTTTGAACGCCAGTGCGACTTGTCAAATTTTAGATAAGGCAAACCGAAAAAGAGGTTACACATTTCTTCGAGGATGAAAGACGTCGTCGGAGAAGCGCGTGGGATCTGAAGCTTCATCGTCACTTTCTACTCTTGAAGAATTGTGTGTCGTCGCATCTTAAACACCTGTAATCTATGCATAATTAAAAACCTCACTCGAGTATAATAAAACTCTTCTCATACTTGAACATAATCGTCACTTATTTATTTATTGTTCTAGTTCATGCTTTGCATTTATATTCTGGGACACAAGGAGGGCATTTGTCCCAATTTTTTAACTCAAAGTTCTGTGTTCTCTGGTAAATGTCCAGCCGACACCTTGAGAGCAGTTTCAATTAAAGACCTTCTGTTAATTACCACCCAGGTGTTTCGCGACAACGTTTGGACTTCGGGTTCATTTTGCTGCCAACCACAGAATTACGCAACCTTATTATTAAGCAAGGCTTAATTTACTGGAAACAGGTTCTTCGTTACGATGGCACAACAGAGTTATTTGCCTATGTTAGAATTCCCTGTAGTGGTTAAGTACTGTTAGACTTTATTGAACTGGAGGTATATTGACCCTGGAGGACAATTAGGATACCGTTCGATTCGTTGAATCGCGAAGACAACGTTAGACATCATTTAATTACCCAACTTTAAATAAGTGCAGCGACGATTTTATTTAGGTTTACTGTAATCCTGTTTTAAATTTTGGGCACAAAACTTCTACATCCAACTTTATACTGTAATTAAAAAACTTGGAGACGAATCTAAGTTAATTCGGCCTTTTCCCAAAGTTACCATTGCGTCTGAGTGGCTGTCGATCAAGTGGACTCTGGTTAAACCGAGAGTCACTATGCAGATGCAACAGCTAGACTTGCGTTGTATATTCTCCAGTCCATCGCCACGAAGCAGCGTAGCGAAATAGCCCCACGCTCCACCTCAAAAACAGTGCGCTTAATCTATGGAAAATCCTGATTAGTTAAATTACACTTCTGAATAACGTAAAAATTTTGAACTTATTTCATTGGTCAAAATGACAACTGAAGCATTGTTGTAAGGCACACTGAATTAGGCATTTTTAATATCAAAATCAAGCATTAATTCACGCCTGATAGATTTTGAATTTGGTAACTTCGGGAAATGTGTTTTTTGAAATACTGCAAAATGTTCTCTCTGGCTTAACTTTGCAATTTGTAAAATCATAGATGTCAAGATGCGTGCTTTTAAAAAAAATACTGAAAGTCCGTACGTTTGCAATTAATTCATGGTATAAGGTAAGTAAACTGCGAAAACTTGAAAACAAATTGCCTATTAACCAAGTATTTTTCACATCAGAGCCATAGTCGCAAAATCTCGGTAGTGGCAAAAAACTTGATTTTTGCATCACTTACAAAAAACAAAGTATTTTAAACGGCAAAACATGTTTGCACAGTTAAATTTAAGTGAACATTTTACGAGAGCTTGAATGCCACGTCTTACTTGTGGAAAACTTAGCAAAGAAGAGCGCAAGAGATGATAATGGTGATGCCTGACATTTTACATCACAGAAAAACTTCCGCACGCCACTAAAAACAAAATGTTGAAATGAATTGGAAGTGATGTTCGTCTTTGCCAACCAGAAAATAGAAGACGTTTATCTATGGATGTAACCATGGGTTTGGGTCTAAAGCCGTAAAAACGGTTTAAATAGATGTCACAATCTGTCTTAGTTAATTTTTGTGATATTAATGCTAATCTTTGACCATTTGATTGTATACTATGTACGTATGGCTCATAAAGCTTGTTAAATTAAGATTAAATAATGGAATATGACCTCTTTAGAAGAATGACCTACAATTTCAAAATTTCGATTAAGATCCCCAATGTTGTTCGTGCACAAAACCTTTTGTCCTTGTGACCCACAACATGGACTTTTTGTGGCTGATTATGCAACTGCACTCCCGTCTGCACTGCATGAATGTGAGATCGTCTTGTTGAAGTTCCACAAAAAACCGCTGGAGCCTCTCACCACAGCGCCTTTCCCGTAACCCGTGTGACCATTGCGTGATTTCTTGCATGGGTTCTTGTGCCTGGTGAAAACAGATAAGTTAATTTTTTCTGAATGTTTTTTTGCTCTACATAATTGCGGAACCAACATGTTGTATATTTGACATTATGAAATGAAGCAACGTCTGAAGGGGTTATTGTAAACATGAATCAATTGACCACATTTCTAGATGGTCGTTTGATTGTGCCATCTAAAATGCATTAAAGCAATGCTGACAGATCGGCACAAATTTAAATTGGTAACCAAGATGAGATCGCAGGCTTTAAAGGCTGTTTTGATGAGGCCTCTGAATGTAGTTCCTTCAGAACTAACAAAGCTAACTCATTTGTTACATACCTTAGAAAACCTATGGACTTTGCACTTATTTTGAAAATAGTTGTCTCCTCACATTCTTGCAATACTAAAAGTGCCATTTCTGATTTATATTTGCTAGTTGAAGACATCTGTTCAGCTGTTCGGTGATTCATGTAAGGGAAAAAATTGTTATTAATAAATGGACATTTTCCGTTTATTTGAGTGCTGCCACTGCTGCACAGAACACACAAGAGCAGCCCTTAGGCAGTTTCTTAGCCACATCATTTCACGTCCCATTTCAGAAGAATTCCGAGGAAGCTGACGTAGCGTGTTTTTGTCGGTTATGTGAAAATCTCCTGCATTTCAATACCGTCCCAAATCATCTTAACTGAGCTCAAAAACAGAGGTCAGAAAAACACTTGCATGGTAACTAGATTATTTTGATTAAGGCGAAGGATGTTTAAGGATAATTGCATTACACCCGTTTTTGAGTTTTATTTGATTTCTTAGCTCAGGGCACCTTGCCGTAATTGTCAAAAATATGCAATTATTTTAGGGTAATTTTATTTGCATTTTAATGGGCAATTCAATTCTTTGCAATTCTAATTAACTCCAGTTTCCAAGTTTTCACAAACAAATCCAAAGCGATATTCTCCGAGTTATCAGAGGTAAAAGCAACATGTCGTCATTGGAGAGCCCCAAGTAGAAACGACTGTCACTCAAGGAAACAGGAACAATTTTATTAGTTGA